TTCCTTAGTAGGTGTTCCAGATCTTTGAGGTTTTCTGCTAGTACTATGGTGTCCTCTGCATGTCTTAGATTATTGATATTCCTTCCTCCTATTTTCACTCCTTCTTCTTCTGTGTCCAGCCTGCTTTTCTTATAATATGTTCTGCATATAAGTTGGAGAGACTGGGTGAAAGGATGCAGCCTTGTCTGACCCCTTTGCCAATTGGGAACCATTCTGTTTCTCCGTCTTCTGTCCTGAGAGTAGCCTCTTGTCCTGAGTTCAGATTCCTCCTCATCAGGACTATCAGATGTATTGGCACTCCCATCATGTCTTTAAGGGCTTTCCATAGCCTTTCATGGTCTATGCAGTCAAAGCCTTTGCTGTAGTCTATAAAGCACATGCTGGTTTTCTTTTGGTACGGTCCATTAGCCATTGTATGTTTGCAATGTGGTCCCTCATGCCTCTTCCTTTCCTCAACCCTGCTTGGACCTCTGGGATTTCTCTCCCCATCTATGGTTGGAGTCTATGTTGGTAAGATCTCATAATTTTATTTATGTTTCATTTTATTGTGTGCATGGCGTAGTGGTTGAGCGTTGGACTATGACTCTGGAGACCAGGGTTCGATTCCCACCTCAGCCATCAAAATCACTGGGTGATCTTGGACAAGTCACACTCTCTCAGCCTCAGGGGAAGTCCATGGCAAACCTCCTCTGAACAAATCTTGCCAGGAAACCTCAGTGATCGCTTCCCTTAGGGTTGCCATGTCAGTAAACAACTTGAAGGCAAACAAAAACTACAACGAAAGTGGAATATTATTTTATACAATATATTCTAACTTTTTAAATTGCCATTTTATACCAATTTAAAAAGCAGACGGAGAGAAGTGGGAGCTTAAACTTTAGCTTTTACGCTGTGGGTTCATGTTTGTTGGTTGGTTTTTAAAGAATATGTTTGGGGTAGGGCTTACATATGTACATGTGGGTTTGTTTTTCCGCTTGTTTATTTGTTGTGGCCCTTGGGGTTTTGTTTTTGTCTTTTTCCTCCTTTCCTTTCTGTTCCTTTTATGGGGAGAGGGTTAGGTGCTGACATTTACGTGTTTTAATACTGAGTAAAGATTATGTTATCTATAAGTCTAACCAAAACTAACAGAACCTCACTAAAAGTGCCTTGCCATTATTTGGCTCTTATCTCTTCCTGAGTGGGGAAAAGACAGAGCGAAAGGCAGAGAAAAGAGAAAGAGAGGCTGCATCCACACTTCGGCAATAACCCAGTTTCACACCACTTGAACTGCCCTGGCGGAAGGCTATAGGATTCTGGGAATTAAACCATGAGACCTGGTCTTCTTCTCTATCGGACTGCCCTTAAGGGCTATTTAAAGAGCCACCTCTGTCTTTTCACCAAGCCCAGCTCCTCCTCCTCCTCCTCCTCCTCCTCTCCTCCATGCCACTGTATGTCCCATTTCTACACATGGTTGTGAAAACTGGGCAGTGAAGGAAGATGCGAGGAAGAAAATCAACTCCTCTGAAATCTTGGGGCTGGAGGAGAGTGCTTTGGATGCCATGGATGGCCAAAAAGACAAACGAATGAATGGGCCAAGAGCAAATCAAGCCTTATTTGAAAAGCACTGGACTATGACTCTGGAGACCAGGCTTCAGCCCATGGAAGCCCACTGGGTGACCTTGGGCAAGTCACACACTCTCAGCCTCGGGGGAAGGCAATGGCAAACCTCCTCTGAGCAAACCTTGCCACGAAAAAACCCAAGATAGAGTCACCTTAGGGTTGCCGTAAGTTGGAAAGAGCTTGAAGGCATTGAACAACAACAACACCAACAACAGGAAAATGACCGCTGTCCTGGGGGCAGGCATATGGCAGGAGGGGTGAGCATCTCCCATTGCCTACAAACCCATGCGCCCTGGATGCCCTCGAAAATGGGAAATGACGGAGGCATTCGGGGAGAACAAGATGGAGCCAGTGCTGCTATTTCACCATTTAAAAGAGGAGCAACAAAAGAGGACCAGGTCTGTGTGAGAGAGAGGAGAGGAGAAAGAAGGGGGCAGAGGACACACCACCAAGGCAAAGAAAAGTCATTAAATGGAATGTAATTTAAATAAATGAAGAACGTCATGAGTGAGGTCTTTTAAATACAGAAAACAAATGAAATTATTGTTTTTTAAACAGATCTTGTACACTCCTTTATCAGCCTCTGGATACTGTTGGATTGCAGCTCCTAGCATTCATAACTATTAGCCATGCTGGCTAAGGTGGTGATGGGAGATGCAATACAAACAACGTCTGGAGAAAGGCATGATTT